ATCTAGGGTGTGCTCTCGATTCCACAGCCCGAATAAAATTGTCTCCTTAATGTTCAGGTCCCTGACCACACACCTTTTATTACAGTGTGCTGCTGTAACTGCTCTATTGTATCGTTAGTTGTTGTTCACCCCTTACTGTGCCCGACTGATAAGCTTCATCACAGGCATGTACATGTGTGTCTACCGACAGGGCGTGCACGTACAGGGGTCGGTACTGTTCTCGGTGTCTGGGGGCCTCGCACCATGTCCCAGGAGGAAGGGCGAGGACTTCTGTGTGCCAGACTGTGTGGAAAGGGCCATTAAAAACACAGTGCGATTACAGAGCCAAGGGAGATTACTCGCCAGGGGCCTGGGTGACGACGCGCAGGAAAGACTTCCCAGAGAAGATGGTATTTTAGACAGGCTTCCAAATAAGTAACGTTTTGCCCGACCGGTGAGAGGGAACGACAAGGCTGATGGGATCTGGATCCAGACCGGCCTCAGCAGGCTGCAGTACGCCATCCACGGAGAGCTGACGACTGGCCCAGTCGGCGGAGGGAGAGAGAAAGCAGACTGAAGTTTTATTTATCCAGGAATGCAGAGGAGGAGGAGCGACATCAAGGAGACACATGGAGACTCTAGGAGGAAGGATAAAAGTGGCTTCAGTTTGAGCCACTGGAATCGGAGGGAGCGGTGGAATGTTGAAGCGGAGAGATCCTGAAAGAGGCTAGAACGTCTGCTTCAGTGAGATCAGATAGATGCGCGCAGGGAGGGAGGGAAGGGTGCGACCTCCCGAAAACAGCGCGGACGGCGGTGGGCTGAGGGCGGGAGGCGGGACCCTCCAGGGGGGCGTCGGGGAGCGAGGCTGTTGCAGCGAAGGGGCTTTGGCACCGGTAGCTTTCCCCCAACAGTTGTTTGGAGCAACGCTGTTGTGCAAAGTTTTAAAAGATGTGTAGTAGTGACTGAAAAATATCATAATACACTAATTAAGTAGTGATTATAGAATAGGTTGTGCTCACTGACTCAGAAAAATCAGGCATTCGAACTGCTTATGAATAAGTTGCAGACACCAGCAGATGCAGTGTCCGCGGGACCAAGAGACGACCGACCGTGACCCCGAGACCTGCACGAGCATCAGCGACTCGTGTGAGAACGGGCGGATTCTCTCCCTGCACGTCCAGCTCCCGAACCCGGGCAGTGAAGCTGGGGGCGGAGCAGTGGAACTACTTGGGGACCACGGCCGGAGATAGAGCGAGACTGCGGGGGAGCAGAGCTCAGAAGCCACGTCGCCAGAAATCCCTTTGCCCCGTCTTGCCGCGGTTCCCCCGTGTAACCTGGCCCGGGCGCCTGAGAGGCCAGGGTGGCTTTGGAGCCGGGAGCCAGAGCCTGCCGTCCTCTCAGGCCCTGGACTCCTGATGGAACCCCTTTCCTTCTCAGCCAGAACCTGCTTCGCCAGTGTGGCTTTCCTGGTGGCAAGGAGGTGGACTCGCGGGCCAGTTTCTCGGTTTCAGATGTGCCAAAACAAAACAAAAACAAAAACAACCCAACGCCACAAACAAAAAATCCGCTGCATTACATTCCCCGATGCCTTTGAGAAGTTCTGGGTTTGGATGTAGACCGATTCCTTACTTCTGATCTGCAGGACATGCTTAGAGATCATGTACAAGGGGGCAGGAGATAAAATGCAGAATTTTGAAACTTATTCCACTGCACAGACCTTTATGATAGAGTTTTTTGCAATAATATGCCCTATATTTTCATTTCCAGCAGTTCAGTGAAATGGGGCCCAGTGGAGGATAACTGGCGACGGAGACAGGAGACCCAGGTTTGCATCCTGGAGAAAACCACGTGATCTACCGGCAAGGGTTCCTTCCTACCCTGTGCAGGTCTGGGGGTCATAGAATCCATCGGAGATTTGGTCGACGCTGTGGACTCTCTCCTCCGGATGTCAGACCACATCTGTATGTGCATTGCCTTCCCTAGAAGCCCCCACCCCACCCCAAATATGCCAAGGATTACCACTAAGGATGCGTGATGCTTGAGCTTGCTTTTAATGTACATTTTTACAAACAGATTTCTTTAATATGCTTATTGCAAAAATATTAAGGTAACACAATGCAAAAGTATGAGTACTTTTTGCATGAGACAAAAAGTAGTATTTCCCTTAGCCCACTGCGTCCTGCACATTCCCTCTCTTTTTCTGAGAAGTCAGTTTTAACAATTCTCTCTAGAGATATCTAAACATGTTAAAATATATTTCAGTGGAGTGTTCTACCACTTGCATTTATAAAATTTACTACATCCTGGACATTTTTCACATGAGGACATACTGAGTAGCTTAATCTTTTAAATAATTCCTAATGTGATCTATAAATTGCCATTTTCCCACCATTTAGCAATCCACTTAAATATTTATTGAACCCCAGCCATGAGTGAGGTTTCCTGTTTGGCTGGAGAAATGGCAAGGAACAAAACAGGTGTCTTCCTGCTCTTAGGAGGCTTGGGCTCCAGTGCGGGACACAACTCAGAAACCAGTGAACGACTAACAAAAACAAAAACAACCCAACACCACAACAAAACAGCTTGGGAGTGTTTCCATGCAGGAAAACGAACAAACAATCCTAGGCGAGACAAAGAGTAACCATAGGCAGGAAGTCAGTTTTGTGCTGAGGTCTGACAGATGAACCAGCTGTGAGAACTGGAGAAGTTAGCATTCCAGGCTTTTGCAATCAATCCATCACTAATAATCAACAAGTACTCATCGGTTGCTGGCTCTTTGCCAGCACCTGTGCTAGAGAGTGAGGATTCAAAGGTAAACAATTAAAATCGGGTCTTTGTTTTCTTGGAACCTACATTTTAGGGTAATTAAATAAAACGTAAAAGACCTTCACACCGTTCCTGAAACACAATTATTACTTGATAAATTTAAGTTTGTATTATTACTTAAAAATTGTTCGCAAGCTGGCAAGTGAATTTATCTCCTTGTTCAAGCCTGCTTCCCTGCATGCTGGTGATGGTGTGCTTCTCACCTGTTTGTTTGCCATTTGAATATATGCTGTAATTTGATTTGCTTGTGTATGTCCTCAGTCATCGTTTTACTAGTTTGTTTGCCTTTTACTGATGGATTTGCAGTTCTTCACATGACATAGACCTAGCAAACACTTGTCTGGCATATGTGCAAATATTCTCCCTCCACCTCCAGTTGGCTGCCTTTTAGTTTCGCTAATAGCATTTTTAAACATGTGGACTCTTCTGGAATTTGTCGTCGTCGAGGATTTCAGTTTTCTTAATGACTTGGGGAGAAACTTGATCTATGTACACATAAAACACTTTGCAGCGATGTGTGCTGCAGACATAAACAGTAACGCCAGCCAGGGTTATCTGGGGCACCATAATGATGGAGAGGGACATTTGTTGCAAACCTGTTTGCGGTAGGCACCGGGCCAGGCTGATCTTTGCTGAGCCCTTCCAAAGTTGGCAACAGTGTTCCCATTTTACACCTGAGAATACTGAAGTGGAGTTCCAGTGTCCCACAAGTAGTAGGTGACATGGTTGAAATGGCCCGCTGCCACTGTGAGCACTAGCTCATAATATTTCACTTAGGAAATATAAGTTTATAGTCCCTAGTAGTTTGGTCTCAAGTTGAGTCTGAGATATGTATGTACTTGACTTAACAGTGAAAAATGCTTGGAAGTTCTATTTGATGTGACTGCTAAAAAGGGTAATGAGCACTGTGGCGACAGTGTACTCTTTACAGCTGGGTCGCTCCTTGGATATTGTCACCAGTGGCAAGACTAAACACAGCCAGCAATTAAAGCAGAGAAAACAGTTTATTTAGTAACTGCTGACAGTAGGGGAAAGAGCTGAGCCCCATGTCCGTTTGTGCAGAGGTGATTTGGACGTTTTAAAGGGAATAAGGGAGGGGATAGATGGCGGGGGATTCTAGTCGAGTCAAGAGAAGTTAAAAATTACAAACAGTTGGTCAGTGCAAATGCGATGAGGCCAGCTCTTTGCCAGCTGGCACCTGTGACAGTGATTCTGTTCTCTCACAGAGACAAGTAGACACAGGCCCCATCCTTCCCGATGGTCACATTTCAAAGGAATGAAATGCACTCTGGTCCTTGAGTGCCACCTCTTCTGAGTCGTTAGAAATCCATGTTCACAATCTAGAACCGTTTGGGAGGGCAGGAGCCTGTCAACAGGTGTTGACTAAAGAGTAATTTCCCCTGGCAGCCCCAGCTTTCTCAGCCAGGCATTTTAATGAGTGTGTGTGTGTGTGTGTGTGTGTGTGTGTGTGTTCATCCTGGGGACACAATGCTCCTGGAAGCCACACTCCTCAGGTCCTTTAGTGCAGGGATTTGCAAGCCTCGTTAGGTGCCGAGAGCTGTGCAGGTCTGACCAGTTCTAGGGACAACGACTTGTAAGCGGCATTACCTACTGAGGATGGGGACGACAGTACCAGAATATGCACACCCTATCGTGTAAGAAGAACCTCGTGCAAATTGCGTTCGGCCGGGAAGTTGAAACCTAGGAGCACAACTGTGTTCAAATACACTGAAGGTGATTCTGAGGACCAGGGGCTCCCTCCAACAGGCGGGGGTCCCGTGGGTGGCGCTAGGGCGACAGCAGGTACAAGGAAGGGATTTCTGCCCAAAGAGAACTTTTCTGGAGATTAGGCGTGCTCAGTCTTGTTAAAAAAAAAAAAAAGGTTGCCTGGCAACAGAATAGCCTCTTCACCTGGGCCGTGTTGAAGCGAGTGCAACTGCGAGTAGGTGGCTACAAGTTTCTTCCAAGTTAAAACACACACACACACACACACACAACAAAACAAAAATTAGGACAGACTGAGAAGACTGCGGTAGAGGAAGGAAGCGACGGGCCAGGGGCGCCGATAGAGCCGCGCACGCGCAGTTTGGGCAGGGCGCGCGCCTCGCCGGCGTAGCAGTTCCCGGAAAGGGTGGGGCCTTCTCGCGCTCCCCCCCCGCCCCCGCCCCCGCTTATTTAAGCCCGCGAGCGCCGGCCGCGCGCCTCCCCAGGCGCCCCAGACGATTGCCGAGCGGTCGATCCCCTCGCTCCCGCTGCGCGCCCGCTGGTGGCTCCACCTGCCATTGTGTAAGTGCGGTGGCAGCTCCGCGCCTCTCGCGTTCTCGGCGCGCGGGCTCGGGAATGGGGAGGGGGCAGGCGCCCCTCGCCGGGCTAGTTCCCGGATGGTGACGGAGGCACCGGGAGGGACTGGACGGGGCGACCGCGTAGAGGCGCACGCTTTGCCCGCGCGTGGAGCCCCAACCGCCCCGGAGACGCGAGCGCATCCGGCGTGCAGCGTCCCTGCCCGTCTCCGCGCGTCCTCCTCGGCGAAACCCCGTCAGCCCACCCGGGGCGCGGGATTAAAGCGGCCAAGTGTTCTGACGATTTCACGTACTGCTTAGCTAGAAATTCTAACGTGGCATTTTTATTTTTTTAATGCAGAGGCCAATAATCCGATATGGAGCATGCCTTTACCCCGTTGGAACCCCTGCTTCCCACTGGTACTGTATGTTTTTCCACGTTTCCCAGTGTCATTGATGGGCTCTTGCCCAGAGTCCAGAAGGGGATGAAAAAAAAAAGCAAAAAACTGGACTCTAGCTAGACCCGGCATAGTTTCCAGTCTGCCTCTGATTTATTTCTGCACCCTCAGGCTTATTGTTTAACCTGCCGCGCCCCAGTTTCCTGGTCCTTGCCCTGCAGAGACCTAGTGAGGGTTGAAAGACTTGATACGTTGTATGCATTCCACCCGGAGAAGAGTTAAGAGCTACTTTGTAATGTTAGCTGTGAGGCCTCTTAACAGCTGTGAACTAATCTCTAACACAGCAGAACTTTAGACATCAAAGGTGTAAAGATCAGTCAATTACTGCCTGTCCATTCTGCGAAGTGCCTGAGATAATCCAATAAAAGATTACTAAATGGCTATATAAAATGTTTTAAAGATATAACGGGCACTTAGGGTTTTTGTTACTTTAAAGTTTCAAATGATTGTAATTCACGTGGAAATAGGTGGAAGGAATGAGTTATGAGGCTACTTATCAGTTTATTCTCAGTGTAGTAATTGACTTGTGTTATAATTTTGCACATGAAATATCTTTTTATCTACCAGTTACTTTTTTGTGTTGTACAGAACTCTAGGATATCAGTTTCATAATTCAAATAGAGTGCATCATTTTGTAATATTTAAATTTGTTTTGGGTAACATACAGGGTCTGGCACAAATCACGCCCCTTTTTAATCACAAAATCTTTTATTACCAAATCATAAGCATGTAATTCTGTGACAACAATATCACACTCTAGCACACCATTTTAGGTGAAATGTTCACATTAAAACTATAAATTATTACACCCAGATTATTACCCTACCAGTCACACTCAAGCAGCTGTTACTTCTGCTGGACCCTGTACATAAATTCATGTTTTGTTTTGTTTTTTAAGGCAGTGATTTTTTAACCTCTTTCATCTCATGGAGCTCATAAACTAATTACTAAAATTCTGAGGCACACTGGAAAATGTTTTTTTGCTGATCTAACAAAAAAGGTATAATTTTTATTCATTCATGCCAGGTGGCTATTGTCGTGTTGGCTGTTGTCATTTTTTCCTTTGACAGTCGAAGGGTAAAAGAGGTCAGTGCCTGAGACAAGTCAGGTTTTGCAGGTTTTACAAATTCTTGCGGCACACGGATTGAAAATCACTGGTTTTTAAGGTATTGAATTTGGTTTGAACTAGCCAGCTCTTCCACACCCTGGGAGGATCGAGAGCAAAGGGCTCAAAAGTTAAGAGAAACAACAGTAGGGGACCCCAAGTCCTCACTCCCCAGGGACTCCCTGTGCTAAGTTGTCCACATATCCCTTTACATCTTATTTACAGGTGAAGGGAGCAGCAAACTGGAATCTGAACCTAGATGGGTTTGATGTGGTGGAGTTTTTATACATTAAACCGCTTTTCACAAGTTAAGCTTTGGCAAACGGAAACATTTTGCAAATTAAATACCTTAGTTCTCAGTTACCCGGTGTTGGCCTGGCCAACAGGCATTTCCAAGAAGAGTCAGCATCAAACCCAGGTGCGCTGGAGTCTCACCGTTGTTACTCAAACCCAGGTGCTATGCTGACCCGAGATGTCTGGTGTTTTCTAGGTCGAAAAAGAAGTGCACAGCAGAGACATGAGGGCTGCAGAGTAAAGCTGGGATCTAGGAAGGAGAACCTCTGGGTTTAAATCTTTGCTTTGCCACTTAATAGTTACCCATTTTTGTACAGTTGTCCCTCCTATCCCGGAGAGATTGGTTCCAGAAACAGCCCTCCCCCTGCCCCCAGCCCTGCAGATCCTGAAATCAAGCCCGCTGCATAAAACGGTGTAATGTTTGCATGTAACCTATACACATCTTCCCCTGTTCTTTAAATCAGCTCTAGATTACTTATAATACTTGATACAGTGTAAATAGTTGTTATACTGTATTTCTTAGGAAATAATGACAAGGAAAAAAAAGACTACAGGGTCAATTCTGACACAACAATGTGACTTTCCTGCGACCTGGATACAGATACTGGAATCAAGTATATTTCAGTTTCTTCCTGTGCAACACAGGAATGCTTGGCAGGGTTATTGTGAGCGCAGTATTAATGAGTTGTGATGCAAGTAAATCAGCGCCATAGTGATAAGCTACTACATTCAGCTGCGAGACTAAGGGGACAACAGAAAGGCGGTTGGGTCTGGGTCAGTGCTGAGGGTGGAGAAGGATTGGAGCCACAGCCTGCAGGAGAGACACAGGCAGCTGTGCTCTTGTTTTCCTGGAAGGCTTGCTGGAGGAGGCCTTGACTCCTCGGGCAGGTGTTGGCCAGCTGTGGACTGGAGTGGGGCATAGAGGGACCTAGAGGGACCTGTAATAACGGTGAAGTCCTGCAGGAAGCACAGATCCACTGAGACAGACCAGCACTTCTGGGGGGTGGGGGTGTCTGTGTGACTTAGTGGTCATCCTTCTTTTCTCTCAATTCTAAGAGCAAATATATACATACATATATACAAATACACACGTGTGTGTGAATATGTGTGTGCATGCGTGTGTGTGTATCTGTCTCATCTCAAGCCCTGGCCCTGAAGCCAGGGCCCCAGGAATTTTATGCTTGACTCTAGGTACTGCAGAGATGGTTAAAAACAGGGCAGCGTGTGGGGAGGGACCTGTGCAATGGTTGGTCCTTTATGTTGACAGTAATTCAGTAAATGTTTGAACCTGACTGTACAGAGGAATTCCCTTCATAAACAGACATTTAATACGTGCCTAGCTTTACTACGTGCCTAAGTAGTTTTTCTGTTACTAACTCCTGTGAACTTCTTTTGTGGGTGTAATTTACCTGTAATGTCTTCTCAGATTTAGTATCCTGAGCAACCCCACTATTAAAATTAAGCTTGTTCTCTTCAGATTAACAAATTGCTGGGTAGACCAATTGCTCTTTGGGGTGATCACCAGCTCTGGGAGAGTAAAAAAATTTGTTTTGCTTTTATAAGTAAATACTTATTTTTTAAAAAGAAAAACAACTAACCTAGAATGTAAAAGTTTCCTGTACTTCCTCTTGTAGAAATAACCATTATTAAAAGTTGGCATATGTGCCAAATATTCACTTTGATACATACACCCAGCATAGTATTACTCTTGTTTTAAACAAAATGGATTCATATTATGAATTGTTTCATAAATGAAAATTGGAAGGGGGGGGCAATGATTGAAAATGTATAAATATTTTTTACTAACAACATGGTATGTGTTCTTTGTGAAATTTTTTTCCATCAAAATAGAAATGTCGCTGAACTGAAGAGTCTGTCGAGTTACCAGAGATTGCCATGTCACTGTAAAACTCTGTGCTCGTCTGAGTTGTGTGTGTTTATAAATCAGACAGGACCTGTGTGCACCCTTTGCTGCAACTGCTTTCACTGCCTACTTCCTTGTGGTCTGTGTGTAGTGTCCCAGGTTTTGTGTTGTTCGGGCAGCACAGACCAAAGGAACTTGTCTTTCATAGTAGATTCTCAAGTCATATCTAGTTTTGATCGTTATGAACAATAGTGCATATCTCTGATCATTATTTCTGCATATTTATGTGAATCCATCAGGATGAGTTGTCTAGAAATGGAACTTGGATTAAGGGTAGGTTTGCCTTCCTGTTACAGAGAGGAACTAACGACTAGTGTACACCCTTCGGTGCCAGGTGCTGTGGGGTGTGCAAACGGGAACGATGTGATCGCTTTCATCCATCTCAGCTAGAATGTTATGGTCCCGTTGGAGAATGGAGAACAAAGCGAGATGGTTAGTAGTTAGGCGTTGAGCTTTGTGTTATAGAACCCACACGGGAACCACAGGGATGGGGAAAGGAGCTGAGGACAGGCTGGAGTAGGCCAAGGAGCGGTGGGACAGACAGACACCAACTGGGCCTCCAGAACAGCCCTGGATTTAAATGGTGAGTGGCCTAGGGGAAGCGGGAGAGCATTGCAGGTGACGGGGTGTGCTTGAGTGAGAGCTCAGTGCTGCCTGTGACCTTGAGCGAGAACACCCAGTGGCGAAGGCCTGACAGGGCTGGGAAGTGCAGCTGGAGACTTCGGAAGCCCGTGGTTGAGCGATGCGGGTAGAACAGGTCGTGGAGAGCAGAAAGTTTTTGCGTTTCTTTGTTGAGTCCCCTGGGAACATTCACACAAAGCAGCCTTTTGTGTACCCTAAAACTCAATTAAATTGTGTCACCCTGATCCTGGTTCCCCTTTGCTAGTCATGTAATTTCGGTTACAGTCCTTACTGTGGCCTTACACGGCCTCCAGATCCGATTCCTAACGACTCTTCCAGAACGCTTTCGTCACGCACCTCTCTGCCCAGCCAGACTGGGCCACTCACCTTGGTTCCGGCTTCCCCACTCTGGCCTCGGCTCGTGCTGAGTTTGTCACCCGGAATATCCTCTTCCAGTCCTCAGAACTCCTACTCTTGAATGTCAGCCATTCTGGTGAGCGTGTAGGGAGGGGTAACTCTGTGATTCGGGTTTGCATTTCCCTTTATGAGGAATGCTGATCTTGTCCCGTGCTGACTGGTGTTTCGAATATCTCGTGTATTGTTTTATGCCTCCAGCCATTTTCTGTTGGGTTGTCTTCCCCCCCCACCCCCGACCCCCGTTTAAATCAGTTTGCCGGAGTTTCTTTTAAATTGAGATGTAATTGACATATATTGTATCAGTTTTAGGTGTAGAACATTACAGTTTGATTTATGTGTATCTTAAAAGATGATTACCAAGTAAGAGTTTCTTTATTTATTCTGGATATAGTTCTTTAAATCTTGATTTTTCTCCAGGGAGAATGCCCTGTTCCTGGGAGATTTTTGTGAAGATTAAAGACTGTGTAAAGCATTGAACACTGACACACAGTAAGGAAGCAAACATTTTAGTTATTTTTTATTCATTGCTTTTTTATTTATCTAAAGGTTTTTGTTTTTTTTTAAGAGAATACTGTGTTGGTTTGTTGCATAGGTTATTTTT